GCGGGATATGGGCGACGTGGGTCACGGGCGGTTGCCCTTGCCGTGGCATATGACTGGTGAGGGTGGCGGCGTGACGCTGGTGCTCGGCCTCTCCATCCTCGGCTCTTCGGCTAGAGCGGCGTCAGATCGGGTGGGGGTGCGTGGTGGGCACCGGTCTAGTCAGACTCGTCTAGATTTCACCCGTGTTTGTCGGGTGCGGTGCGGGGTGGTGGCAGTGGCCCTATGGATCCCGCGCGGATGTGGGCAGCGACGACGTGGTGGTGGTTTGGGTCGATCCGCGACGGCGGTTGGGCGTTCTCTGGCGTCTGTCCGTTGTCGAGCGGCTCGTGTGGTTGTCTCCACTCCATTCCCAAGTTGTGCTTGTGCAGGATGTGCCGAAGGGATAGACTTTTCCAATCTCTATCCACTATTGAGGGGTGATCTATTGCCAAGGGGGCCACAATGTCATCCTTGCTTCCCGTCTAGTGGCGGTGTGCTGAAGGGGAGCTCGCCTTTGCTACGGGCAAGGCGGGGTGGTGTATGCCAACTTTGGTCAGGCGTGGACATGGGGTTGTTCAGGGGCGGGGAAGAAGGTGCCTTCCTGCTCATCCCTTCTTTCATCCTGGTTACGAGCCTAGGGCGGGGATGGAGTTGGTGCCACAGATGCTGAGACGACAGCATTGGTGGTGGGGGCCACAGTGCTCAGGGGTGGAGCACACAGCTCTGGCGTTGTCTTGTGACCATGGCCACGTGGGCGGCGTGGTGGGCATGGTGTGACGTTCGATGGCGGTGGTGCGGTAGACCGTACCACAATTAGGGGATGACGAGTGCTAGCTAGGGTGAAAACTCGTTCTGACTTGCCAGGCCGGTGGCGGCAGAGTTCTGGCGTCATCCCTTTCTTGAAGGCGTCGTCATGGTTCCCTTTGTTCGTCGTGGTGCTCCGGGGAAAACCTTGATCCTTGGATTGAGCGATGGCAGTGCTCCAGTATAGTTCCCTTGCTGAAAGCGTCATCTTGGAACACATGGTTCGTCATGCATGGCTTCTTCTCATTGTGGTGGCTTGTCCACGGTTGAGGGTCTCGGCGACTCCATAGTGGTGCTTATTGTTCATCTTTTGTTGGTTTGGAGTTGTACGGGGTAGTGTTACTTTTTTCAGCATTTTTGTATCCGATCTTGGGTGTATACGTTGTATTGGATGGTTCAATGATGATCGCTTTATATATAAAGTGAGTGATGAAACCCTTTTTGGGTATGTACAAAAAATGCGCGTCGAACTATGACAAATGGCATAGATCAATGTTCTTTGACGGCCATCGCACACGAACATCCTTTTCCCGGTTTTGGGTGTCCATCATTATATAATGAAAAATAATAATATTGGAATAATATTTTGGTGCATCCTGTCCACCAAAAAGTACATGTACACCATATTTGGATCTTAAGCGTGCCATACATGAACCTTAGAGCATCTACAACACCATATGATCCCTCAAACACCTGCGGACGCACCAAACTAGATGATTTAGCTACTCCTCGTCGGATATGTCGATAATCTCCGTGCCCGGCTACGGCAACATGGGCGGCAGTTGCAGCTCCGCCTCCTCCTCCTTTATCTCCGCGTTGAGTTCGGCGAAGAGCACGTCGGACTCTCCTGCTCTTGCCCGAGAAACTGTCGGTTGGCCTCCACATAGACCTCATTTTCGATGGACTCCAGACTGGCCTGCTGCTCCGCCATCTCCGCGGCTTGGGCGACAGCGAACTCCGCCTCCGCCTCTGTCATGGTGAACCCCAGAGCAGGCTGCTCCGCCTCCTCCATCGGCTCCGGTAGCTGCTCTTCCTCCTCCTCCTCTGGCTGCTGCTCCTCCTCCTCCGGCTCCGACGAGTCCGGAGGCAACCTGGCAGCGATGCGGGCGGCGTGCCTCGCCAGGATCTCCTCTGCGATCTGCCTCCGGTGCTCCAGCGTCATCATAGCATACGTCGTGATCTTGCACCGGACCATGGCGATGCCGGAGAGCGGGGGAGAGGAGGCGGACGGGTTCGGGTGGCGGCGCAGAGAGGGAGGAGGTGGATGGGCTAAGGTTGGGGGACGTCGGCCGGCTTAAATAGCTGAATTTGGTCTCAGGCGGCAAGCCGGAGCGGCACCACGCGGCGTGAACGCCGTGGCGACAGAGGAGGCGTCCGTCGGACCGCTGGGTTTTCGGGCGATTCCACGTGGGACCCGATCGTCAGTCCTATGTGGCGGGCGCGCCCGGGCGCCTCCATATCCGCCCCATATTCGGGCTGGATATGAAGGGTACCGGTCAGCCCGGATGTTTGAGGCCCGTTTGAGGCGTCTCTCTAGGTCAGCTTTTCGTGACAGGTCGGCGACTGAGCGGGCCGTCCGGGTGTTTGAGGCCGGTTTGGGACGCCCGGTTGTAGATGCTCTTAGGTGAGAATACTCAACTAAGGCTGGGACACGACAAACTTGATCAGCTTGAGTATGCAACTTCCAAATTGCACGTGGTTGGTACTGACGAAGGTGCCATGTACAAGAAATGCTCGCCCCGATAGGCCAACTAAATCAGATTAAGTATGCAATTCCCAAGTCCCCATGACAACTGCGCTGCACGAGATTAGCAGTGAGGATGGCGTAGCTCATCACAATAAACTAGCTGAAAGTTTCTCTACACAGAGGTCAGATCAGATGTTCAAAATGCATTGTTTCCAGCTTGGAACGGATGGTCCAAATGCATCTTCTCGAGAGAAAAGATGCTTATGAAAGATGCAAGATTATTATATTGCAAACGCATGCAGGATCGATGCTTACATCTGGATGTGAGCTTGGTAGTATACGAGTATGCCAACCATATATCAATCATATGAGCCTAATTCTTGGTTTAATCTCCAACTTATTTTGCCTTTCTCCACTAATTGGTGTCACCCTAATTAGTGTGCAAGTCGCCGTCTCTACAGCATAACCCCGTAATTCAACGGTAGATCAGACTGACTCGTCATTGACTGAACCATGTCTAACAAGGTAGAGTAAATAGCATAAAACTACTACTTTACAGGTTAGGATTCCAAAAAACTATCGATTTTTATTTTTTCTCTGTTTCAAAAAACCCCAAATGCATGCTGTTTAAACATTAAACCTATTTATGACAGATCGGGTCCACCCCTAAACGAACCGTTTGTTTGACCAGTTGTTTGACCGTTAACTGACATCTGGGGCCCACATGTCAGCCATGGAGCAAATAATCACAGAGATTTGTTAAAAAAGCCCCACCCGAACAGGTGAAGGACAAGGACCAGATCGAGAGGAAGAAGAACTGCTCCCTCCGTCGCCCGCCCGCCCGCCCGCCCGCCGCCGGCGATCACCCGGGCTCAACCCCGGCCATTCCTCTGACCCACCTCCTTCTCACCGAGCTCTCCGCACCCAGCGCCGGGCCAGCGGCCGCCTCGTGCTGCGCTCGGCCGCGCATGGACCTCGTCCCACAGGCGACTCCCGAAGATGCGTGCGGAGGGGAAGAGGTCTGCCGGAGATGGCGGCCGCTCCAGGGCAGGCAGCGACTACTCCAGGCGTCGCCCCATGGTGGCGCGGCAGCTACCGTAGGCAGACCACCACGGCAGAAGGCGGCGACCGCGGGCGGAGTGCCATGCCTACGCGGCGGAGACCCCATGCCACGCCACGGCGGTGCACCGGCGACCCCAGGCGGCGCGGCGAAGACCCCAGGCAGAGAGCCGTGGTAGCGCGACGGCAGCAACTCCATGGCCAGGACATGCCGGCCGGATTGCTCTGCCAGGGGTCCAAGGACCTGATTGCTTTTTAGAAAATATTATAGGGACCTGATTGCTTTCTCAAAATATTTGGAGGGGTTATTTTGTAAAAAATCTATGAAAGAGACACTGACATGTGGGCCCCACATGTCAGTTAACGGTCAAACACACGGTCAAAGAGACAGACCGTTTAGGTGCGGGCCTGACCTGTCATAAACAGGTTTAATTTTTAAACAACATGCATTTTGGGTTTTTTGAAACAGCCGACCACCCGTTTGGTAGTTATCTGAGAAAAATTAAAAACCGGTAGTTTTTTGGAACCCTAACCTGTAAAGTAGTAGTTTTATGCTATTTACTTAACAAGGTACGGTTCATCCATTCCGATGCATCGTTTCTCTGTGCTAGACCTATAGGAGTGAGTTGTGGAACTATTATCATCAAACTTGTAGCTTAGGTACTCGCCTTCACAATCTAATCATAGAAGTTTGATCTTCTTACCGAGTTGATTCTCAACCTCGTTCTGAAACTCTTTAAACTTTTCAAAGGTTTCTGACCTCTGCCTCATCAATTAGACACATCCATATGTACTCAAGTCATTAGTACAATCACAAAGTACATGTAATCACTTCATGTTGTCGTGCACATGGATCAAGAACTACATTCTCTAACTGTGTGGAGTAACCTAGATAGTCATTGGGAGTTTGACATTTTATTTGAGATGTGGAGGCTCAAGTCATAAAAACCCGTCCATTGCCCATGAAGGCTAGGCTAAGATAGTTTGTTTCATTAGTTTAAAATCCCTTAATTAGATTATTAGGAAATTACGGTGTCGAAGTCGGCTTATGACCAAGTGGTTAGTTCGTGCCTAAGAATTTTGAGAGTTTGATTCTCTATCTTCTATGAACTACCATGATGTTACAATGCCCATATGATCGATGCATGCTTGATCAGAATATATTTCCATTTCATTATGTCTGACGGGCTCTCGCAAATATCAGGTACGTGCAGCCCGTAGCAGAACTTCACTATATTCATTAGCACATATATTGAACATGACACAGGGATAAGATTACATTCAACACTCTTATTAATAAGAACTTTATTTCACAGGCCACACTGAGCCGATACCGATAGCCAAAGGCGTAGAAGATAAAAATTAAAGCAAGTACATGAGATTAGGACAACATATGCCGCCCTTCTTATTGCTGGAACACTAGAAGCTGACGAGTAAAGCAGCAAGTTTTCTTAAGAAACACTTGCTTCTACTAATTTGGGGTTGGGCGCACATAAGCTCCAAGCTGATCAACAAATTGCCCAGACCGCCCGTAGAAGCCCACAATGCTGTGCTTGTCTGGCGCAGTGGTACGGAAAGGAGTAGTACCGTTGGATTGTTTTCCGAATGGTCCATATGTCTTAACATTGGTGACAATGGAAAGTGATGTGACAACATTCGATCCTTGAAAGTTGCCGGTTGTGCCAAATATTTCCTTCACGGTCTCTGAAGGACCAAGCTGCACGATCTGTAAGGAAAGGAATGGCAAGTGATTATAACACTATATACTATTTGCGTTCGCTCGTAGTATTAGTGAGCACCACAAGGGAGTACATATGTGGTGTGAGATTGTGAACGTTATATATGTGATCCATGAATTGAGCTCACTATCCAAATGATGACTGAGTTGCATTGAAACGAAATCCAAAATTCACTCACCGGCTGCTTGACCCCGCCGCCACCACCAAATGGACCGACAGTCCGCCTTGCACCGCCTTGACCGATGTAGGTGAAGGCAATGGCATCAATAACTTCGTTACTCTGAATTGTGACACTTTCTAGACGCTGAGGTTGCTCTGCCTCTGTGATTTCAAATGGTATCCCTCCATTCCCGCCCCACGGCCCAAATGGTGTCCCTCCATTCCCACCCCACGGCCCAACCTTTGTAAGGGTGTTCTGCACATGCACGTATATATACATAAATATATGTGTGTGTTAGAGCTAATTAGAAGTAGAATGATGTACTCACATTTTGCATGTGTCCGAACCATGACAAAAATTCAAATTTGCTAGCTAAGCTGGAGTACAATTAACATATATAATAGATTAAGGAAGAACACGATCGAGGGAAAAATGAATCTCACCGGCTTTGGGAAGTTGAAGCACACAACACGGAAACGAAGCTCTCTGATGTTTCCGCCTGCCAATTCCTTGATTTTCTTGTAGGTGACCACACCTTGTGCAAAAGCGAACTCGCCAGTCCCACCCGTGACTACCCATTCACCTTCGTCAGAAACCAAATGCCCTTGCACACTGAGGGAGGACCCCTTAAACCTAAAACACAAGTTTGTAAGCATCACACACGCAAAAAAATAAGTATGGCAACATAAGTTCAAAGGGAACATTTTCTGAAAAATGCATGCATGACGAACCTCTCATCGGTGAACACTGTGTTGAACGACATAAACCAGGCTCCGCTGCTCTTGCCGGACCCTTGATGCAGGCCTTGTGCACGCGCAACAACCTTTGCCGTGGTGTCGGGACCATCGCGGATGTCCCAGTCAGTAGCAACGGTGACACCGAACCCCTGGGGAAGCTTTGGGTTCACTGTAATGAGCTGGTTAGCACCATTTGTTGCTTCGAGCTGCTGATGCACGAACAGGTGGAAGAGATGTTCCTGGTACTGGACCGGTGCGCTAACCGGAGCGGTGGTTTGGTAATATGAGGGGTTTGCCTTGGCCATGTTGATCAAGATTCGAGAGTGAGGAAAGCTAGCTTGCTGTCTAGGGTTCTTGTGTGGGTTGGCTGTGGAATGAGATGGAGTGAAGGGAGGTAATTTATAGGCATGTTAGACACCACCAGGTCATATGAGCGTCTATGCCCCCTCTGTCCGGAATTAACCGTAGATACACTCATTTCAGCGACGGTTAATTCCGGAGGGAGCTTGTACTTTGTAATTTTGAGTTCTGAAAGTGAACCCATCAGGCAACTGCATGCTGCCAAACTTAATTTATGTGATCTTGTTGCTTCGGATCAGGATCACGAGCTTGATAAACATATCCAAGTAGCCACGTCATTGCTTCAGATCTAGATGTACATCCACATTATGGTGACATTCGCTAAATTAAGAACTGACATTGGTTTAAGCGTCCCCACATATTGTGGATCTCCATACCATTTTGGGTGTACAAAACACCCTGCGATTGTATACAATTCTGCAGTCGCAGTAGTGACAGATACTAGCCATGCATCGTGATCACATGCATATCAAGTATATTTTGATGTAGAAAATGACAAATAAAAATTCGAAATTTTTGAATAAACTATGTGTGACGAATTATAGGAAAGAGATATATGGAAAAAACATTGCTTCTAAAATCTAATTGAGTATGTACTGTCTAAGCTCTATAGTAAAAATCACAGTTTACCATTAAGTGCAGCACCAATTAGACGTTCCTCTCAATATTACACTTTCAAGTTTCAAGTGTTGTTAACTTATGCATTAGACATTTCCTGATCTTATTGCTTCTTGGCAGTGTATGTGAATATTTTGTGGCGTATGCAATGTGCTTCTGTTGAATTAGTTCTTTGACATAGCCGTGTTCTTTATTAGAAATGTAGTTTCAGCTGTCGCCGATTAATGCCCTACCAATTTTTTTGCGAGGAATTAAGCTAACTTTTTTTTTTGCGAGCCCTACTGATATTACTGGAGGCAGTGAGAGACGGTTGAGGGAAAATGGTGCCCGAAGGGATCTCGTTGACGAAGTAGATCTAATCTAGGCAGAGATAGGCAACGTGGATGTTGCATCGAGTCAAAAACCACGTGACGCCATAACCCAATGTGTGCACCATGTCGGCCGCCTCGGGAGTACTACTGTACTCGTCTGGGTGGGTGAAAGTGAAACTCACGCACACGTACAGTGAATCACGTGCACGCATTGGGGGCATGCATGACGTGTCCTGCACGCCTACATATATATGGATGATGGTCACGTGCATGCTTTGCGTACCTGGCGGATTAAACCACTACTTCGGTGGATTAGAGCACAACTTTCGAGTTTTTAATCCGACTAGTAAGCATGCACGTGTAATACACGTATAACTATAGGTAATAATTTTCTTATTTATCCTGGTTGGGAGGCAATAAAAGAATATTGTTTTCAAGAACAAGGTTTCACCAAATAATGACAGAGAAGATATTTTAGGTAAGATTTACTAACCTCTATTCTAATGCACAGACAAGCATCTAATCATTGTAATTGGCTCATCCAATAATCTAGTTTCTAGTTAAAATGTTGGTTTTTTCTCCACTCTTGGCAATCTTGGCCAAGGAGGTGGAGTACTCATGTATCAACAGACATGCATGGATTATCTACCCTTCCACAAACAAGTCATAATCATCCATGCATTGGATAAAATTATTTTCCCGTGAAAAAAATACAAGTATGATATTTCATTTTGTCGCAAAAGGTACAATATTTCATTTACAAAATTTTCAAGTATATTAGTACTACATCACTAACAAGTGTAATATTTTATTCAATAAATTCTCAATAATATCCATATTACACCGTAAAAACAAGTATTTCTGTATTCCATCTTACTATAGAGTACACTCGTATTACATCACAAAACAAGCATATATAGAATCATACAATACAACCCAATATATCGCTCGAGGAAATAGAGCTTGACTTCTCGAGGAAATAGAGCTTGACTTCTTCTAGTTGAGGTTCCATGTAGTCACCAGAGTATAAATAGCTTGAGGTCTAATAGTTCAGGTTCCCTTTAGCCGATGAAGTCTTCGATACCTGTACATAACAATGTCCACATGATCAAGTTTGCTGAAACAAAATATCTCTGCACACAACAATTGGTAGTGTGATAAAATCTTCAAGTAAACTTTAGAGGGCCATATAAGCAATGGAGTGTATCTTGGTAATCCTTTGGGATCAAAAGTACTAACTGCAACATGATAGTTTAAATAGACTTTCATCAGTCTATCTACTCTATTCTGCCCTCTTCTAAAGTAGCATAGCTCTTTCATATAAATACTGGGAGAGGACCACAAGTTGGAGGTAACACGTATGCTTCTTATCATCGATCTCTCTATATGGGACTTGCAGTTCATGTTCAGGCTCAAGCCAACCAGGTCTAATCTACAATAGAAGTGCAGAAAGTTACTGCTACAGACCCTGTGGATGCTGAGGCTCATGCCATCTTGTTGGCAAACACATGGATGCCATATCTCATCACATAATGTTATGTTATTCAAGCAATTAACTCAAGTATGAATCCACACAAATGACAACTGAGACCCACTATCAGTCTCATTCGCCAGAAGGGACGGGCAAACGGTGCTATCTTCGAAGATGTTTTTATAAATCAAAACCAGATGAGTACCAACGGCATGTTGCCCCTTACTGGTCTTATTCACACATATCAGCACTCAAAATTATGCATTTCAATGTCATCAAGCTGATCACAATATTTGCTTCCCATTTACAGTATTATCTTGTTTTTGCGAGATATTTACAGTATTATCTAAGATCGCTCAAAGACACCATCATGTATTTTTCCAATAGTTCTCATCTAGAGGGCAGAACTGTACTTTGTTGGAAAACACTAAGCACTATTACCTTGTTGATAAAGTAAACACCTGTAATTGTTGACATATTTACAAGTTTGTATATGAAGCTTGAAACAAATTTGATGTTGTCGTGACACTATGGCACTGATTATGAGATGCTTTTCTACAGAACCTATTTTGTTAACACATCTAATTTCCGCCATGCTTGCTCTTACCACAGAGATCGAATTGCCAGAAAACAGTTTAGCACTATGCAAGGAAAGAAGGGGTTAAACATATCGTCCTCGTATCGTGATGCATTTGTCTTCTGGGCTACATTTACATAGTGCTAACAAGGTTTCTCATAGCCGAGCACACCATAATGTTTAGTCATGATAGAGCAGCCTTAGATAAACACAATGATGGAAATGGGCCTGGCTCGATTAAATTGTTGACCAAAGCCAAATTGAAGTGAGGAAGGTAATTTAACATTATATGGGAATGCTACCTAAAATTTTGTAAAAAAGCATACATGTGTACATGTAGATGCAACAATTGCTTGGATGCAGACTTTAGCATTAGCCTTCTAGTGAGTACACATGGGCGTATACTTGCACCTCCGTTAGTTTCTAAAAAACATAACTCTCCGTTACAAAGGTTCATTAAACAAAAACAAATGCCGCTTACTGAGTAGAGTCTGCCAGCCATTAAACTCCAACTGCTTGTTGGTACCATGTGGCTAGTCCTCAAATGCTATCGTGCTCCTAATGTGTCGCACCTTCAACTCTGCAGACCAAACAATATCAATAGTTCAACATATTTACAAATGAGATTAGAAGAGCTCCCATCTGTTACCTTTTCTTGGCCACTGGTTAGTACCGAATGCCCTGGCTCGCGGATCATGAACATTCCCATGACAAGTAAGCATCTAGCAACAACAAAGGTGCACATGAAGTCTGAACTCTGGCTTGTTCTTTACCCATCGTGTAATCTACTTCCAATGCACCTGTTCTTTCCATCTCCAATTAAGTGCCCTTGGTAAAATTCTATTTGGTCCTACAACTCAATTAGCCTGCCGAACAAAAAAATTTGTATTTAATAACTGTTGCTTATATAGTACTCATGCTAGTTTATTTGTTGGGACACAACATTTAGCAATGACAAGAGTATTCAATACCAAAATATACCTGCCAATTCATCATAGAAAATTTAAATATCACTGTACAGGACATGGCAAAATTGAAGGGAGACGCAAGGTTACTTCAAAACGGATAGTTTAGAGATGCGCAACAGTCTATACCAGTCACGCTACATCATAAGCTACAAGAAAGATAACAAGTGGGGAGTAGAAGACATACCCTTCCTTCTACTAAATCATGCATGCCAATGTTGACACAGTACATCCAATGGCCTATGCAGAGTTGAGGCACAGCGTATGATTTTCATTCCAGTCCCATGGGTTAGGAACTCTTTTCTTATTTATTGTTCTCTCATCAATGGTTCCAGGTATAGCTACATTGATCAACCTATTGACAAACGATCCAGCAATGAATTAACATCAACAAGGGCTAGCAGACAATTTATGTGCAAAGAGTAAATGAGCAGGACTCTGTAGCTATCTAGAAAGCCATCTCATGGTCCGAAAATGACACCATCCCTAATAAGCTGATTGCCGGATGGGTCAATTGGCAAGTTCTTCTTCAAGAATGGGTTTTCACCTAGATAAGTGTTAACCTGCGCCACATAAGAAGAATTCCCCACCTGGTTGAGATTGTGCAGCAGCGTAGTATGGTGGATTTGAGGACCGATGGTGAATTCCTGCTGCCACCAGCGGCCAGCCCCGCCACCGACGCCGTGGAGCTCACCCTTGCTCGCAGATTCACAAATATCGATCAGACAGGAGCGCATTTGTTCATCTCTTGAACCACAAATACATAAACACATTGGGTTATGGGTCTCTGGGGTCAAAACATGATTATGACAAACTGATGGATAAATAGCACGAACTGAAGATAATCTGGACACAAATTTGTTACTTATCCATCTTCTCTCAAATGTGAAAAAAAAAACCGAATGGATCTGCTGTACCAGTGACAGGAATGATGGCACAACAAATTGGGGGATGACCTGTCAAACTAAGGATGGGTGAGGTGCGTTCAATCTTGAGACGGATA